TACTTTATCACGGTATATCTTATTTTAATATTGCTGTTATCAATACTTTTATTTTTATAGAAATATTAATCTTAATAGTACTATTAATAATTACTCTATTGATTCCAGAAAAAATAGTGTTATACACTTTGATTTTAGAACACCACTTCTAGTTTTTAAACCGGCGTCCCTCTAAATTAGAATTTATATTTCTTAGTTTCAACTTCATTTTCAATCTTCCATGTTGATCTGGGCCGAAATTCAAATTCAACTACAATTCATTTAAAAATTTTACGTGTTTATTTGCATATGTATATGTTCCTGTTTAAAGTTTTATTTCATTTTACTTTATTTTTCAAATTTTTCCTAATGTTTTTATTTTAATTTATTTCAGATCATTTTCTTTCCATTGATATGTACTATTATTACTATTACTAGTACTTTATGTTATTTGCTTTATTTTATTTTATAGACACACACACACACACACACACATTTTGAGAATTATATATATAGATAATATTGTTGTAATAATTTAAAGTATTTATTTTTATTAAAGTTTTTATGAAAGATATATATCCAAGAACAGATAATAAATAGCAAAACGTTGCTAATACTTATAATGTACAGGAAGTAGTGGAGATCCATTGTCGCCTACAACTTGGACTCAAAATAGGCACTAAAGAATTATCTATCAAAAAAAAAATATCATTTAAATCGGATGAAAACTGAAAACGCATAAACAACATCCCATCACACACATACATACATACATACATACATACACACAAATTTTGAGAATTATAGATATAGATATTTCTGTTGCCTTGGTTTCATTCTTCATCTTTGAGTACTAACATAGAAGAGTCGATATTATATAGCAATTTCGTATTCTCTTTTTGTAACAAAATTTTCCTTTTTCATGATACTTTATTCTGATTGGGCAAGATATATTTCGCTATTGCAATGCGTCTTTCTGATTCGTTATCGCATTTTCCTTTCTCTGTTAAAACATTGCCTGGATATTTATTTTTTTCGATCTTGCTTGATTGCGGTGTGTACAGTGTTGTAATTTTCCACTTTTGCTGACAACCATAGATTTGCTTTCTTACAATTCATAGTCCTGGGTATGACAATAACTCCCATCCGACAACAAACCCTCGAATCGGGAGATTAGAGTGTGGAACAACGTCTTAATTACTATTGTTCCCAGGTCCACTCTAGCCAGGGATGATAGCACCTTTCAGGGCCCCGCCTAGTGAACTCCAAACTAAAACAAAACACTATGAAAGGATAAAATTACATTTTTATACTAAAAACAATAGCAATATATTTTTATCTATAAAAATTACCAACTACAACTAATTGTAGTAAACTAGCCAACAATACAATATATTTGAAGGCATCTAAATACGTTCAAAGTATTTAAGTTTCGGCATAGATTTGTTAATATGTCACAAAACAAAAATAATCAAATCCTACAGTTGGTGTTTGAGTGATATTTGCGATGTTTTGTCTGTGAGGAAGGGGTTATAAGATGGAAAGTAATTCATCACCCACCCTTTTGAAATCTATGAAGACTGGAATGTAAGCACTCGCTAGTTCAATCACAGATGTGACTCCAGTTTTGTTGTATGTGGATTTTATAAAATAGGTTATATCAGAACGATCCAGGTCTTTAAGTGCACTGTATATAGAACTGATCATTTTTCCGGGATTTTTAACACTGAATCTATGAAGACTGGAATGTAACACTCTGTAGTTCAAGCCCAGATGTGACTCCAGTTTTATTGTATGTGGATCATATATAAAATAGATCATAGCAGGAGGATTCATGTACTAAGAGTGCTGTATAAGGAACTGATCATTTATCCGGCATCTTTAACAAAGTATATATGAAGTCTATAAGGTAAACACCATGTAGCTCAAGCCCAGATGTGACTCCGATTTTGTTGACTGTTCCACTTTAGATCATGCCTGTACATGAGTCAAAACAGATATTCAAAGAATGTAACCTCCGATTCATGGTCCCTGATGATAGAACTTTGATTTTTATATGTACAAACCTTTTAGAGACCCTTGATGGTCTTGGGCGACGCTATTGATTCGATTATAAATGTGCATACTTCTTTCTCGCGGCCTGTGATCTCTAGTTGTCTTGAGTCCAGAGATAAAAAGAAACTTCAACATAGGGAATATTAAACTTAAATATTTTATTAATGTCGATGTTGACATGTTCTATCTGTCCAGTGAGGTCGTCCACCCCGCTGTAGAGGCGTTTCATGCACAAAAGAAAACATGCCTTCATTGCTCGACAGTTTAGAAACATCTCACTGAAAACATTTCATCCATCTATCGTTCTCACGTTCGTGCAGACAATCAAAATCGACTTCCTTGTTTTGTCTTCTATCTGACCACAAATGCCAACCTCCTGAAGTTGGGGTAGAGATACACTTCTTCCTAAAAATAATAATCTTCTAAACTTTTATTTAAAACAAAGCCAGGGAGGCACTCAAGGTGAGGGTTACGTTAAGGGGTAGTTTATATAAATAGGAAGGGAATATAACGGTTAAATTTTGATTCGAATAAGTTAATATGGTGGAGATCGATGAAACCACCCTTTGGGTGTCTGTTTCACAGAGCAGTGTCTCGCGGAAAGAAGCTATTCGAGTGGAAAAGAAGCTATTCGAGTGGAAAGAAGCTATTCGCCGATGGAATAGGGAGAGAATGTGAGTGGTTTCTACAAAGTTGCATCGCGGGCCCTAGCCGTGAAGTGTAGATCTGTCGGAATCAAGTAATGTAGTTCGTCCGAACACTTTCCGTAGAAGTAGCGATAGTATCGAGACTGGAATGATCCTGCCTAAATATTACAACGGTACTTCATTTTTGGCTTGATTTGGTTCTTGTAAAGGTAGGGATACAATGATGAGTTACTTACTGACAGGATCATTAGAGGGAGCCGACAATTTTACATGCCCTTTTAGCAATGGATACTATGTACGAGGTCCACGTGGAGGAAAGATCGGTCGCCCGTCTCTGCTCATCTAAATTACTGGAGTTACATCCATACACTTTTGTATCATTGGAGATATTCATTAAAAATATGGCCGTTAGCAACGACCTTCAGGAACCTACCTTCTACGAAGGACTTGACAATAAAGAACAGATTTCTCGCTAGAGAGAATGTTTAAAAAGCCCTTACTCTAAACCTTCTGAAATGTCTTTGATAAATCTAATGTGATCATTCTCGTAATGAATCTATTGTCTAGTACCATAGTTATTCCTTCTCTCTCTTTATC